GTTCTTTTCCCTTTTTGGAGCCCAGAGGCAGCCAGCCAGTCTCAAGAGTCTAGGGAAAACTTTGAACTATGACTGTGACATTGTCTGAAGCCCAGCCAGCAGCTTATAGGACGAGTGAATTGTGGGGTCTGTGGCAACCTTGCTGTGAACTCCTGGTCTGTTTAGTGCCAGTTTCCAAGTTGAATGCAGAGAGAAAAGGCAGATCAGCAAGTTTAAGGTTCTAATTCTGGGGAAGGTGGGTACTACTGTTCGTAGGTGGCTGACTTTGCCCTGCTGTCTGGGGGAAGTCTGCCTTCTGACAGGTTGCACACCTGCAGGCCAGGGTTATGCAGAGGACAGGGGTGGGGTTCGAGGGCATGAATTCCTTGAACGATTCTTCCCTAAAGAGAAATTGGCTTCCCTAGAGAAAGGGGATTTCCTGCACAGCCCAGTGCAGAAGCTAACAGGGTTGACACTGAAATCACTAGACTTGAAAGAGATAAATCTCTTAGCACCCTTTTGCTCTGGCTAGAGATGCAGAAAAATGAGGTAAAAGCACAGGCAAGCGAATGGGCAGGTAGAGACTGGTACTGTCTGGGCCATAGGATGGAGGAAAGGGGTAGCAACCATCACAATGTATCAGGAGGCCCTGTCCCAGAGCCTGGCCTTAATTAGGAAAAGTGCACATCAGCAGTCCTTGATTCCCAAACATGAGGGCCCAGGAGTGGGAAGCCACAATGAGGGCCATACTGGAGGCTTCCTTGGAGTTCTGCCAACTTAGGGAAGTTTAGAAAATCCCAAGATGATGTGGGGAGAAGAATTCCTCTTCACTTAAAAATGGGTGTCTTCTTGCTAAAGGCATGTAGAACAGAACTTTTTTTTCTTCTTCGTTTTTCGCCACACAGTGACAGAAAATGTGTACACGGGAAAGGTGGAAGGCAGAAGGAGGGGGGGTGTTCCCTTTGCAAAGACTACTAGGAAGCTGGGGAGAGAAACACAGTTAAAAGGACAAATGGAAAATGATCAGTTCTGTTGAGGCACCCCCATGAGCAGGGGTGGAGCAGAGCTATGCAGACTGGAAACAAAGCAGCCACAGAGACCAAAGTTTGGGCCAGGTCCCAATGCATGGTTGCCTGGGGAACAATTCAGGTCACCCGGAGAGACTCATATTTTAAACTATGAATTTAAAGCCAAATTTCAGAAATAGATATCAAAAAGGCAGGGTTAGAGGAGAGAAGGCTCAGTTAGGATTTAAAATGAGAACAAAGAGTGGGTTAGCAAGAGTGGGCTTGCAGATTAGGAGCATTTACTGTTTCAGAAGTAAGTTGCCAGCTGTTGACCTTGCTCTCTTTGGGGAGGCAGCTACAGAAAACTGCAGAAGTGGCCAGCCACTCAGGACCACACCAGGGGATTACGGCGACAAATGGAAAGGCAGAGAAATGATGGGAAGATGGTGGCTGAGGGTTCAAGCCACAGCTCTGACTGGCTACTACTACCAACATGTGCATCTTTGTCCGTGTGATGAGTGTGGTGTGCACAACAGAGTAACTTTCTGAAAGTAACTATGGTCACTAGCCCTAAGTCATGGTAGATAAACTAGATTTGGGATTTGCATATGGATTTACACTGTGATAGGTTCTTTATTCCAAGTTTCAGCAAGTATGGTAGCATGGAGAACTGTATTTAACAGATCAAATGGGAACTTAATGTAGTGAAGCAGTTATTCAAAGATTTAACAAAGTGAACAGTAAGTGCTATTAGGTAATGGTGAGGATGACTTAGGGTACCAAAAGCAAATAAAGTTTGAAATCAACAAAGAGACAGTAATCAGTGAGTTGCTGTATGGAGGAAAATGTGGATTTCCTTGTTTGTTCATGTGGTGGACCTCACATCTGTGTTCTGAGGCAACACAAAGGAGCTGGAAGTGACTAGTTTCAACAAATGCCACCACAGGATAGATCAGATGATAAACTACTGGATGTTCCTAGAGCTCAAAAATGCTACATACGTGATGAAAATGGTGCTTGGTCTGAAAAATCCTTACACTTCTGATCTTTATTCGGTTATATACTATTAATCTATATTCTGTATTATTCCATACTATACATTATGCCTTTTTTCACCTGAGGTTGTTATATTTTTCTTTTGAAACCTGCTTGTGTGATTCATGCTTATCCTTTTATCTAAGATACAACTGTATACTTGAATCCCTAAGGGAAAAAATCACCATCTTTTGAACAACCAGATCACTCACTATCCAGTGGAGAGGTTCACTCAAGTCAGATATGTCCTGGGTCATTTCAGGGCTTAGTCTGGCTGTGTGCTCAGGGGTCTCCTGGTGGTGCTTGGGAAACCATATGGAATGCCTGGGATCAGCTGGGGTTTGCTGCATGCAAGGCAAGAGCCTTAACTCCTATAGTATCTTTTCAGCTCTCCAGTGATTTAAGGTAATTAGAATAATCAGGCAACAGAATTCAATACTTTTTTAACTTGTGACTCCCCAAATTTTCATGAGTTAGTTTTCAGACTAAGAGACCACTAATACCTAATGCTGTGTTTCCAGGATGTATGTGTGTGTGTGTGAATGGGGGTTTACATGTCTAAATATACTAAATAAATCACTACAATAAATAGCTGAAAGTGTGAGGGTATCATTGTATCATTTCACCAGGATTTCTTGGGAGCACTTGGTCCAGCTTCCTGCTTTTGTTTTAGCTTTACTTGTTATAATGTGTCAACAATTTTCAGTACACGGGCTCTGGTATGAATCTTTCTCTTGGAGATGGTTTTCTTGACCGCATGTCTTATTATCAGACTGCCCATATTTTTTGTACAGGCTATTTTCAGATTTGAGGCATAAAAACAAAACAATCTACCATATTTAATAAGGGCTCTGAGCTTTGGTAAGTTTAAGGCACTGACTGTACTGGTTACTGCTGCGTCCTACATTTTTTGCCCGTACTTTCCCCCCATAACATAGCAAAGACTGAAACAGTGAAGACGACAAATCACATGGAAGAACATGATCTATTTAAATTTACTTTTTATTGTCATTTTTTCCAGTTACCCAGCATGCCACAATCTGATTGCTGACCTGGATGAAACAGTGAAATAAATGATTTACAAAGAAATATTTACATTCATCTGATTTGCACGTAATATGCCAAAATGCACCGCGACCTTCCCAGCAGACACCACCTCGGACTGCAGCAGGCTGCGTCGTCATTGCCACTTTAGTTGCCGAGTGGTCCCTGCATTGATGGACGGGCTAGATGAAATCGGGAACTAGATGAGAAGACCTCCTGGCATAAGGTTTCAGAAATGGCTTGAAGTTTATGTTTTTAAATCTGCTCAGTTGTATGCTATAGTACATATATGAATTTCAGTAAATGAACTTTTTAAAGACTTGGATTGTAATATTTCCTTTATACCTGGTAATGATGAACAAAACACACCAAAAAGGCACATTTTAATTAGGCCAAAGGTCATTAAGGACTAGACTTTTTTCCTGCCATTCATGTTTCTTTCCCTCTTTGTGATCATCCTTCAGCTTTGTTCGCCTTTTAACCAACATCCTGTTAAGACTCCACCATTTATCATTCTGCTACTTTGTGCACAATCAGGAGACCCAGGAAGCACTAAGCATTTTTCTCTCTATTCTGTTAAGAAAAACAGACAAAAAAAAGCATCTTTGGCTCGGTGGTGTCAGGTTTCTTCTTCAATATGCATTATTTGAGAGGACCCTAGAAACGTACTTAGTGAAATTACAAAATTTACTTGAGTTCTATCAAATATCTGTACACAGATCATTATTTTAGTTTAAAATAGTATTTCTACTGTACACAGTTAAGCCCTCAAATGCTTTAAAGTAACAAAAATGGGTGCTGAGAATGCTGGGTTGTCTTTGAGGATGACAGTGGAACACTAGGGGCAAGGCTGCAGTTGGGACAAGTCCCTGACCTTAGACTATTCTCCTGCCAGCAGTCTAGCATCTTCATGGCCTCTCAGAATGGATGTGGATTAGGCTTTGGAGGAAGTGGGATGATACAGATGAAAAGACCATTTGAGTTTCTTGAGCATGAAAAAGGTTCAAGCCTAAAAGAATAGAACTTCTCTTTATATTTCAGAAGTTTTTGATTTCATCAAATGCGCTGGACATAAAGGCTGTCACATAAGATATGTTAATTGTCCCTAATTCTGTTTTAGGAATACAGTAAATAAATTATACAATATTCTAAAAATAGCACCTTTAAAGACTTATAGAGGTCACTTTATTTTAGCCTCCTGCATCTGTCTACCCCAGTGGTTTTTGAGAGAAGAGCACATGTGAGAATGCCCTCAAATTTGGCTATGTGACGTACACATACATGCCTGTGATTGTGTGACATACACAGATATGCCTGACTAACTTTGGTCCCAAAGCCATTCCTCTTATCTGGCTTAGTCACAGGAGCAAAGCCAAGTTTCTACAATAGTAGGTTTATGAGGTAAAATCAGAAAAAGGCCCCAACCAAAATGACTTAGGTAAATCATATTGTACTCCAGCCGTCCTATCTATTACCCAGGTCTGTTTGTTAATTTGCCATGGAGTTTAAAAATATTCTCTAAAAAAGGAAGTATGCCGAGCAACACATTATCAGGAAGACATTATTGATGAGCCACACTCCCTAAGACTTCCAAATTCAAACCATTTGTTGTGAAGACTTTTAGGGTCTCTGGCATCATAGCAGATTTTAAGGAAACCCAGTGCTTCTCCCCAATGGAAATAGCTTCTTCTCATTGGAAGTAGCCCTTCATCAAAGTTTGTACGACTGCACTATTGGCATCTTATTGAAATAATAAAATAACCCGGTGTGTGTTTTGAGATATATGAAATTTACATATTTTCCTATCACATTCTATACAGGGAAGGTTAATACCAGGTAGAGCTATTAAAAATCTTTTTTTTTTTTTTGCAGAAAGGGTAATAGTTAATTTCTGAGACTACAGAACCACATCCAACAACAATAAACAGAGAAGTATCAGATTGACATAGTGCTTTATTTAAGCTGTCTGTACGAAGGAAAATAATGTGCATCCCTATCATATACGTGTAAAAATACTAAGGATGTACAGTGTACAAAAACGTTTCTTGTAGTTATTTCACATCCTTGTGGGTCATATACTTAAGGAAATAAACAGTTTTAGTATGACCAACAGTAATAGTAATACAGTTTCTTGGGTTCATAATTGTGTCTGCTTAAAATCCTTAACCAGAGGACTAGATCTTGTGTGGATCTAATGAGAACTAGCAAGGTCAAGAAATGTCACAAACTATAAAGCTACAGGGAGGTAACTCAATTACCAATTTAGAGGTTTTCTTTTTATTTAAATAAATACTTTACATTTCATGCTTGCCTGTAATGCACTACCAGGAGCAAGATAAGGAAATTCTACTGTAGACAGTACAAACTGTAGCAGCAAAGTGTGTACACTGAGGTGTAATATAGAGACCCTGCAGTTAGTAAGGAAGGCCCTCACTTTTGTATTCTAGGAGAAGCAAGTGGCCCCTGCAAGAACAGTCAGCTTTAAGAAGCCAGAAATTAGGTATGAAAATGGAAAAAACAATACTGGAATAACGCCATGGAATTAGTATAGAAAGCAAAGCTGTGAGTAACCCTGACAAAAATCCATGCAAAAATGACCAACTTCCTCTGAGATGGCTGCATTATGACAAGAGGGTAAAGAGAGCAAGATGAATTTGGAGTCTAAAGTGTGCTCTAATAGAATGAATTCAGGTCAGGCCTTTCCATCTGCCAAAATCCCAATGCTATGTGCACAACAAGGGAAGTTTTAGAAATCTTTTACACACATTTCTTGTTTTTCTATTTTTCCTCCAGGCCAGCTGATTGAGTTCTGGGAGTGAAAGTCAGGATTTTCAAAGCAAAAGCCAAGAAAACATCTTTCAAGACACAAATGAAATTGGATGGGATGGGCCACAGGTACTCACTGGTTGGGCTAGCCTGAGGCCCTATAAATGCAGTCACTAATCTATCGTAAGTGTCCTTGGCCAGGTTCATGGAACTTACTTGAGAGAGAGTGAAAACAAGCTATCAATATGCTTAGTGTATGGTATCACATTTTCCCTCCAAAAGAATGAATGCTCTGAACACCAGCCAGTCTCAGCATTCTTCACTTCCTCTCACCTGTTTCTCTTTAATTTGATGGATGCAAGACAACTTACAGGCATACCTTCTATTCTACTTTCTTGTCAAAGTAAAACATTCAACATAGTTCTGAGTGAAAAAACAGTTAAGCTATATGTGTAAGTAAAAATGAACTACCATTTATTGTAACTTCCCACTCAACACTAAGGATGAACTTCACTCAGGTAGAAATATGAAAAATTAGGATAAAATCTATGTCTGAATATGTCTTAGCTGCCTTAGTAAAATGCCCTTTAACCCCCTTGCAATCCCAGTGGTTCCCCACCGCCAGCAGTGGTTTCATATCTATAATCCACACATCCAGCTTCAAGAGGCTAAGACATCTGCATATGAATATGATTCATCTTACTTAGAAAGTCACTTGCTCTTTCTTACAAGGCAGTCATAATACTGCATCATGCTGTAGTCTTCCATTTGGGAGCTGTCAGATAGTTTAACTAAAATACATTTCCATGATCATTCCATGGAGCCAGGTTGCCTTCTGCTTGCTGCAAGAAGAGACCCCAGCTCCTTGGACTTCATAGGCTGCTTTGGAAAATGTCAGCTCCTAGCACCAAAGGGTTTAATCTGAAGATCATCATTAATGAAGGAGAAAGATGAGGTTTGCATACATGTCCCCTTTCAGTGAGAAATGTTGGAATTTGGGGACATGAGTATATACAGAAAAAGAAAAGTCGGAGGTGTTCTTTTTTTTTTCCCTGATGGCTTAATTCAGTGATAAATGTACCATGATCAGAATAAACACACCAGGTTCTTAACCTTTACAGCTTACTTAAGATGTGTTCATTTTGCCAAGTAACATACATTTCTTATCGCTCAGGCCTCAGTTTTCTTCATTACATTATGTTGCCAAGTCATCATAACAACATTTAGAGTCTCAAATGAGCACACACCAATATCCATTTGTTCCATTAACCCCTTGGCTGGGATAGTGGGGATTTTCTCATGTTTTAGCACCAAGGGGTTAAACAGCATCTCTTCTCCCAAAGCCAAATTCTAACCAATATGTACAGTTTCAGAGTCTCATCAAAACATTTTCACACAGGAGAAAAAGTGCATGATTCTCATCAGCATGTACATTCCTTGCACATGGAGCAATAAACTGCAGTTAAGTCTATTTTACGTTAAGTTGGAGCTGCATTTGCTAACATGACATACAATTATCATCACTAAAAAATAAATACTACTGCCATATAAACAAAATCATAAAGGACATTCAAAGTTTTAACATCTGAGAAAAAGCTAATTCACGTAGATCTGAAAGTAAAAAACGTAAAACAAAGAAGGCAAACATCTGTTTACCTTGGTGTACACATTTGGTGAAAAGCAGGATCTTTAAACCTGTCTACATTCTTCAGCCATCAGAGGTGATAAATATCAAGAAGGGAAAAGATCTCCAAGCATGGGGGAAAATGTTCTCTGGTGCAAATCGTGTCATGAGATTTTTTAAGTGACCTTGACTCTGCTGTGCATATGCTTCCTTCCTTGGCAGAATAATGTTCACTTGCCCACGACTGCTCATGAAACCTGGATGTTGACATGTAATACTGGGCTTCCTCTGCAGTATCCAATGGGAACTTAAACATCTATCCCAACAGTTGTTCAGTCCTTCTCTCAATGCTTCCTAACAAATTCCAGACAGATCTCAGTGATAGACGCCTACTTTAGGCTTACTAAAATTTTGCATACGCACATCACCACCCTTCCACAACTGCTCATTTTGAATTATGAACTTCTTAGTCTAATTATTTTTAATTTATCCTCTAGAAAGTTAAAAAATGTACCTAGAGTCAGTGTATCTCATTTAGCCTTCACTGTTAGGGGGAAACAAAAACCAAAGATCAAAACATGAAAATTGGTTCACAAAGGTGGGCTCATGACTTCTAAAGATTGTAAAATTACCTCTTAAGGTTGCTATAATAGTAAGACAGTAGCAGCAACAGCATGAGACCTTAGACTGAGATACAATTTCATGCAAAAACAAAAAGACGAGTGTGCTTTCGCATTATGTGTGTTCTCATGTGGGTGAAAGGTGGCGAGAGGTGAAGACCTTTGATTGGTCTGGGATGTCTGAAGGCGCTCCTGCTATTGGTAAGAGCTAGGACTGGTGTGGTATTCAGGAATCATTTTAAGTAATAAATCTAAGATGACAGTGAAATAGCAGAATGAGAGACTTATTCTCGTCCACTTGCAGAGTAGGAAAACTGAGGGAAGTGCGGCCGCCTCTCATTGTCCATGCAGTCCATACCATCCTCATCATCTGTGGATAAGAAATGGCTTTAAAAAAATTTACACTTAATTCTGTAAGTCAATCTTATCTCACGTCAATATAGTTTTAACATATGACATAATAAAAGTGAAGAGGATATAAGCTCCCAGATACATTTAACAATACAACAAAATAATCTCATTTCCAAGTGCCTCATATCCTTCAAGAGATTAATATTTCAAGGCTCAGTAAACTAAAAAACTACTATGAAGAAATTAAGACCTTTTAAGACAAAAACATTTTCAATAGTCTTTAATTTCATAAAAATAGCATGTTGAAAATTATAGAAGTCAAATGCTAAGGTATTCAAGTGTCTTTCTAGGACCCAGTAACAACTGTCTACAAGCACTTGTAGTTTTTATTTCTGGTGTAACTATTGTTTTGAGCCATGGGTTTAAAATATTATATTCTTTAACACTGTGAATGTCAAATAAAGATCTAATATTTATCTCATTCTATTCTTCCTAATTTTCCTATGAAACTTGCTAGTAAAAGGGAAAACAGGATAATGAAAAAGAGAGTTATGTCAGCTGGTACCAAAGTACCAGTTCATCAAGAAACAAGGGATAAGAGACTTAACACATAAGGGTTTTCTTTTACTCTGTTTTTATCTAAGCTGCTCTTCCTTTTCATCTCTTCTGTTCACTTATATTTAAAAGATTTCAAATATAGGGGTGCAGTGCTGCCAGCAGGTCAACCTGTACCTGCGGAGTGAGTGCATTAGTAGCCTGATGGTGCCTTCAGGCTTCCTGATACACTCAAACTGCTACTGTGCCAGACTCAAGTTTCCTGAGAAATTAAACAGTCAAAATTAAGTAAATGGGAGCCATGCACACAAGCCACCCCAAGGAAGCCATACCAGCTCATTTATTGGCCTTGCTTCAGAGACCCATAAATTTATCCCAAAAGAGATCAAAAGCTGCAGTTAATCTCGAACCTGTGCAAGGCTGAACAGATGAGGGTAAAGAGTAGTGGGATGGATCAGCCTGGTGCCTACCCAAGCAGAGACCCTGGCAGATGCTTGCTGCCACAATACAAAATGCTGCCATGCCCCAGTCAGACTCCATATCTCAGGATGAAACTCACTCTTCACCTGTTGAAAATTCAAATACGCAGATTTCATGACTGAAATCTCTAGGTTTTCTTGGAATTGGGATGGACAAGCTCCCCCCACTACGCTATACTCCTGGAAGCACTGGCAGTCACCCCCATGGACTCACTACAGCACTGCCATGTAAGCTCTTCTACTGACCCTGCTTCAGAGGCTCATAAATAATCTCAAAAGAGAACAAAAGTCACAGTTAATCTCAGACCCGTGCCAAGCTGAATAGAACAGGGTAAATTGGAGGGGGGCGAGTCAGCCTGGTGCCCACTCAAGCTGAGCCCCTGAGAGCCACTTGCTTGCACAATCCAAAATCATTGCCATGCTCCTGGCCAGACTCCACCATCTCAAAATGGACCTCACCGAGATATAATCCGCTGAAAATTTGGGTCCGTGGGTTTTGTGACTGAAATCTCCAGACTTTATTGGAGTTGGGATAGGCTATCTGTCCCACCTTTCTATACTTCCAGAAGCCTTGTCAGTCATGTCCATATCCCAAAGCACCTTCCTGATAAAAATACTGAATGCACTGAACAAACATGATGACCTCTTAGTATCTGTACTGCAAACCAAATAGCAAATCAAATAGTACAAGAGAGGGAGGGAGGGAGGAAGAGTGAGGGCCATTGTGTGACTGAAATTCAATCAATTGTCTATCTCATAAATATTCAATAAAAATTAAAAATATATATTTCAAATAGTCATCTTCCTGAAACAGTTCTGATTATTTAAGTTTTATACTCTTAGTATGTTTTTCCTTATATGTTATCTGAATTATGGCTTTATTTATAAGTCCACAAAGATTCCTTATGCATCTTCTCTGGTTTCCTCCGAAGAAAGACAATCCATTACCTCCAAATTCATGTTGACATGCTGTCCTATGCTAAAATGAGCCAAAGAGACTCTGTCGGTCAAAAGCATAATGGTTTCTTTTCCTCAAATACATATAGGCAGTACATTACCAATTCCTTTAGTGTTCCAGCCTCTTCAGGGAGCATCAATTTCTTAGAATGGGAGAGTGAACACAGGACAGATCCTGGTGTACTATAGGCACTGACCCTGTTGTACCACAGAGTATGACTTATTCATTCTTCAAGAACAACAAATATCTCTGCTCCTTTCTGACTTCATTTCAATGCTCTACTTTTAATACAAGAAAAATACTCTAGACATAAGTTGCTACCAAGATTCATGGCTTTTAATGCGTTTAGGAAATATTATTGTATTAGGTAGGAGCCAATTAATCAAGAAGCATTTGTGGGTTGCTGTTCCATGCAAACAAATCACTAATCTCTAAAGGTCTCTTTAACCTCTGTCTCGGCAAACAGATATTGTAAGCAATAGCATTGTAAGCAATAGTATTTCCACACAGTACTGAGGTTTTGGAAAATTTGTCTCATTATAAAATATTAATTTGGTACAAGAAAACCCTTTAGATCAAATGCCTTATGTAGCAGATTTAGCTATACTAATGACAGTAGAAATTATGGATGACATATCTGCTGTTGAGTATACACAATTATCTAGAGAAAAGGCAGCTGAAATAATGTTCAGATTCTGACATGTGCCAATCACATTTCAAAGAAACAGTTTTCCCAACTAACAGCTTTATTTTGCTGAATGTGTTTCTGCAAAGTAAACGTGCAGAGAGCCCTGGACAGCTAGGATGGGAAGTCTGTTGCTTGACTGGTCAGGTCAGAGAGCTGTAGAACCTTCCCAGGCTCCAGTTATATCTCAGGCTAGACAGATTGAGCCAGATCAGCCAGGCTCTCTACAGGAAAGGTTTTGTGAGGAGGAATGTTTACTGCAATGGAGATGTATGCTGGCTGAGAACTGAAAGCATCCTTCAGTCAATTACTTCAGCAACAAATATACAACATTCCTTTAATAAAAATAACCCAGATTTCAAAGGAAACCATGGAAAGGTCCTGCACCTTAATATTCTTTCAAACTCATGACATCTGTTTTTCCAGTTCCTTCCTGTTCTTCCAGCCCGGATAATAGGGAGGTCAAGTATTTATGTTGTACCTCTTTTTCTTAATTCATTATTATTAAATTAACATGGTTTACAATAGGGTTAACATATATGCTGTAAGGCAACAACACTACTGTGTCACACCCACACCAAAGTGCCAATATCCTCCCACCATTGTTTCCAGGTCCCTTCTAATCTCCCCTTCCTCCTTTTTACCCCACTCTTCCAATCCCAGTTTGGGAACCTCAGTTTGATTTTCAGAGACTTAACGGTTTGATCTCATTCATCGATGATTCCCTAGATTTGTTTCTTTACATACCAACTATGAGTGGGATAATCAAGTATTTGTTTTTCTCCTTCTGACTAATTTTACTTAACATGATCCTTGCCTCAAAAGGCGTGGAGTCTGCAGTGACACCAGGAATGGGCACTCTGGGGCTAGTACAGCAATAGAAAGTGCTAGATGGTTCTCAGCTGGCAGAGAGAGCCAGAGCCTATAATACTCAGTCAACAGATATTACATCTGTGCTCTGAGAGAAGAATATAGGGAATAATGATGATAATGAACTATGTTAAAGAGAAAAAAAACACAAAAACATTTAGGAAACAGAATTATCAGCTCTAGCTTCTTATCTAAATTATCAGCTCTAGCTTCTCATCTAAATCCTTAAATTCAAGCAGTATTAGTTGCTTGATTTTCTTACAACTCTAACATATGCAATAGTAAGGAAGTTAATCTACTTGATCTCAGAGAAATCCTTTTTTTTTTTTTTTGGTTAAGAAAAAGCCAGAGACCATTAATGGATATAATGCAAGACGACGCACTCCAAAATCTGTTCAATTAATTAACACCAGTGAAGACAATCTGGCATGTTACTGCAGCTGTTTGTAGAAAAAGAACATTTTGCCTTTCTAACTACTGATTTGTTCTAAAAAATAACTCCATTCTGTTTCATAAAAGCAAGGTGGGAAGTGGGAAGATGATCACTAACAGTAATTCTGTTTTAAGACTTTTAAGAGCAAAACCACTATGTTTTATGGGTCAGAGCTTTGGTGCTTTTCTCCCCAGCAACACTATTCAAAGCTGCAAGATTAGGTAAAGTAACCACAGTTCAAGGTTTCACAGAGCATTCTTTGATTTGCATTGTAAGGGAATTGAGGACAGACCCAAGTACTGTGAAATTCAAAACACAGCCCGTCTCCTGTCCAGGCTGGTGCTGAGGGTTGACAGGCTGCCACACAGAACAGACTGGTAGCTGGCTGGCATTTGGCCCACTCTGCTGAGCTATTTTGTATGATTTTTCTTTAGACATCCTGAATCAGGAAGTCAGATGACAAGCTCATAGTGTCTTCACTCTAGACTATAGCTTATCCTCTCAGATGGATGCAGTTGCTGAGCTAGTGCTTTCAGTTTATAAAGCATCCAGTATCAGGGCAAGGCTGCCCTCCACTTCTGAGACTCACAAAAGGCAAATGTTCACAGACATACTACTGTGTATGAATTCTGGTACCTAATTAGTTACAATTTATGGTCTTTTATAGATGTCTGTGTCTCTAACAGATTATCTTTTAAAGATATAAAGTCTCAGCTTATATAAAAAATGACATATTCTTTTTGTTTGTTTCTGGGCCATACTCACTGGTTCTCAGGGCTTAGTTCTGGCTCTGCACTTAGTGATCACTCCTGGCCATCCTTGGGAGACTAATATGGGATGCTAAGGATCAATCTTGGGTTGGACAAAACATACTGAGTAAGGCAGGCCTTATCTGCTGTACTATTCAGCCCGATAAAATGACATATTCTTTTAAGAATAAAGCTGCATTTAGTGACGAAAGGTAACATGTTGTGAAACATTCCAACACTCTATTCTTTTATACTGTTGAAAAAGATGTTGAGACACGAGGTGCAGATTATGTTCAAGAAACTGTACAGAGGCCCAGGGGATAACTTGATAGCCTAAGATATCTGTGTTGCAAGACGAAGGCTGTGAGATTAATCACCAGTGTGGCTGAATGCACAAAGTGAGAGCCTAGTTCTCTTCTGTTTGAGGCTGACAGCCCTGGCTATCTATGATCCCCAGTATGGCAAATTATTTCTCACTGTACTACAGCTAGGTGTGTGCAAACACCAAAACTAAACAGCTGTGATCCTCCACAAATTCTAAAGTTCTATTTAAGAATGGAAACTGTCTCAGTGAATTTGAGACTGAGGAAAGAGAAAGGTTGGGACTTGCATATGGTGAATGCTGAATGGGAAGGCCAGGCGAACTTCTGGACACTGATGGGAATATTGCCAAAACAGGCTAAGGCTTCTTATGCCCCCTTCTTGTCCTGAAACTATCAGGCCCTCATCACAATTTCTTTATTTATTCATTTATTACATATTTATTGAGAACCTATAATGGACTAGGAACTGAGCAAGAAGCTAGGTTTAACAAAGAGCAAGACACATCAAATATTTCTAGGAGCATTCTAGTTGGAGAAACTGACGAAAACCCACAAACTATTCAGAAGAATATTATTAGAGATATCAATGAAGAGAAAAAAGGGGTTTGAAGGGTAAAGTGGTTGGTATCATCTGATAGGTGGCATTAATTTTCAGATTGGGCGATTCAAAACGGCTCTCTGATGAAGTGACATTCAAGCTGAGATCTGAGACCAGAAAGTGAGGGCAAAAAGCTAAAGAAGAAGCTTTGCATGTGGGAGACCTGGGACCAATCCCTACCATACACGACCTTATGACTGTTACCATATGTAACCCCCAGACACTGAACTGGGAATAGCCCCAGATCACTTCTGTTTATGTTCTCTATCCCACCAAAAAAAGCCTCAGATCTGAAAAATAAGGAAATATTCAAACATGCTTGGTGAAGAGTGATCAGGGAGAAAGAACAATACTTATGTCCATGGCATATACAAGGAATATTCAAGGTGTGGCTGGAACAAAAGTATAATAGGGGACAATGAAAAATAGGATGAGATCAAATAGATGGTTCTGATCCAAACTCACTAGGTGTTTAAAAGCCAGTGTGAGGATCTTAGAGTCAGTGCAAAGAGAGGCCACTGGAACCCTCCATGACCTGGCTCTCATTGCACTGATTCCAAAAAAAGGAATCATGTGAGAATGATGTGATCTAATTATCATTCAGGTCGTATTCAAGCAATATGGTCTAGCAAATGCTCTATGGTGGAAAGTGTTCACGAGTTAAGTCAATAGTCCACTGGTGTTGCTATAGAACATGCTGGAGTTTGGAGGAAACTCTGCCAAGACCTTTGCCCACTCTCTTTCCGCAGACAGACCTTGACCTACCTGTCTACAACTCCAGAGGCATTCTGGCATTATCTTTGACTCTTAAGAGATTCTAGGATTCTATCAATAAGGTATGTGACAGAATGGAAACCATATTGTGGTATGCCTTATCATTGGTGACATACCATGAGTACTTCTTTGATATATTATTGATATTGTGAGTGCTGTTCCGGGGTATAGCTAAAACCAACTTTAGCAAGCTCAGGTTCCTATGGGTTTCAATCACTTTCCTTATAAAAGTTTAGAGCTTCATAACTTCCTTAAATATAAGGAAAGAAGAGTGCACATAGTATACATAATTTTACATTTAATTTCAGGGGATGTAACCCAAATTAAATAGTCTTGGTCTAGATGACTTCTACTTTGGCTTTCATGTTAAAATCCATTGTGAGAATAGCACTTCTCTTCAATCTTCCCTCACAGGGACACTTAGGGTACAGAAGCACTCTCCATAAATCCAGTTTTTAAAAGAAAAGAAGAGGAAAGGTGGGAAATAAAGAAAAAGAGAAAAACTAAAAAATGAACAGGGTATTATATGTGAGGACCCACCCCTCAAATGCGTGCCTTAAAAAAGAACCTTTAGTTATCAACTATGCCTCTAAGATTGTTTATACATTATATTTGGTAACTTTATTCCATTAAAGTTCATGTAAAGACGTTCATGAAGGACAAGGTCACAGACTAATGCACGTAGAATGATTAAGTGGTGTAGAGACTATAGGTTTTTAATAAACATGCAATTATGTGCATAAAAATTATTATGTCTTCACGAATATTATAAGACAAATATTGTTGCAAAAACTACTTAGGGCCAGAGAGTAGGTATGGAGGTTAAGACACTTGCCTTGCATGCAACTGACCATGGCTTGATTTCTAGAACCATATATAGTCCCCTGAGCCTGATCCCTGAGCATGATCCCTGAGCATGAAACTAGAAATGAGTACTAAGCACTCCTAGCCCCCCATCCCCCCAAAAAAGAGTGATTTAAAGTTCTTTTTAATATTAATATGTGTAGGAAGCCTGAAGAATTTTTGGGGGGATCTGAATGAGATATCTTGAAAATATAGGAAGTCTCTGTTTCGAAATTCTTTCTACTGATGTCAAAATAATCTACTGGACAACAGTAAGGAAGTGCTAAATCGCTGAAAATTCCCAGTACACAATTTTTCCATATATAAATTTTCCTACTCCCTAAATAGTTTCTTCTCAGCTGTCTTTATATATTTCTACACTGGGAACTCCAGATTCTATAATGTAAGTAGAATCTGAGCTTGAATATCTTTAAAAAAAGGACTGTTTTGGCAGTTATATGAGAATGTTATCAATTAGATTCTGTATTTACTTACATTTCTCAGGTGGTGTTATTGTAATAGTTTGAGCTGTAAATTCTTCATCAAAATATCTGGTATCTGTCTCAGATGTTACTTGAGGCTTAAAAGGAGGTACAAGCTGCAAGAAAGAAAATAAGTACTTTTAGCAGATTTCAATTTTATAATGTTAATTTTTTTAAATTTTTAATTTTTTTAAACTGAGTCACCGTGAGATACAGTTACAAAGCTGTTCATGATCGGGTTTCAGTCATACAATGATCCAACACTCATCCCTCACTAGTGTCCATTTTCCACACTAATGATCCCGGTTTCCCTCCTGCCAAGCCCCCTCCCCCAGTCTGCATCTATGGCAGTCACTTCCCTTCTCTCTCTCTCTCTCTCTCTCTCTCTCTCTCTCTCTCTGGGAACTATGCTCCGCGACACAGACACTGACAGGTTATCATGTTTGTTCCTTTACCTACTTTCAGCATGCAATTCCTATCTAGAGTGATCATTTCCAACTATCTTTGTAATAATGGTTTCTTCTCTATCCCAGCTGCCTCCTCCCCCAGCACTCAAGGCAGGCTTCAAACCTTGGACTAATCCTCCTTGCCCTTGTTTCTACTGTCCTTAGGTATTAGTCTCAAGCTTTTTTATTCTAAAAGGAATGAAAATATTCTATGACTATCCTTTTCCTTCTGACTCATTTCACTCAGTATGATACTCTCCATGTCCATCCATTTATAAGTGAATTTCACTACTTCATTTTTCCTAACTGCTACATAGTATTCCATTGTGTGTATGTACCATAGTTTCTTTAGCTAGTCATCTGCTCTGGGGCACACGGGTTATTTCCTGATTCTGGCTACTGTGAATGCTGCTGTGATAAACACAGAAGTGCAGATGGCGTTTCTGTAGTGTGTTTTTGGGCCGCTGGGCTATATTCCCTGAGGTGGCATTGTGGGGTATTATGGAAGCTCAATTTCTAGGTTTTTGAGGAATGCCCATATTGCACCCCAGAAAGGTTGGACCAGTCGGCATTCCCACCACCAATGAAGAGGAGTCCTTGTCTCCCCCATCCATGCCAGCACTGGGTGCTCTTGTTCTTTTTGATGCGTGCCAGTCTCTTTGGGGTAAGATGATAACTAAGAAGTTTAGTCCCAGAGCCTATGTCTGAATATATATTCTGATGAGTATCTCTTGGAACAGGAGAAGTTGCTAGGTTCCTTGTGCATAAAAATTAAGAATAGAATGACAGGAATTACTATATTTTACAAAAATTTTATAGAAGCACATAAATGCTTTAGACCACTGCATTTCACCAATCTTACTATCACCAAATTTAGGTTAAATAATAAGACAAAAAACTTTAAATAAATGTTTAGATAGACAATGCTTAATAAAACCAAGGGATGAGAATAATTGTGATTTCAAGACGCTATGGTACATGTTACAAATAATTTTTTTTCCTGCTTTTATGGAAGTTTTTTTTTTTATTAGTGAAACACCATGAGGTACAGTTGTAGATTTACAATTTTTTGTGCTTGGGTTTCGATTATACAATGATCAGATACCCATCCCTCCACCAGTACCCATTTTCCACCACCATGGATAATATCCCCTCACCCCCATCCCCCCATCCCCCCCTGCCTCTGTGGCAGGGCAATCCCCTGTGTTCTCTCTCTCCTTTTGGGTGTTGTGGTCTGCAAAAGAGGCACTGAGTGGCAAACATGTTCAGTCCATAGTCTACTTTCGACATGCATCTCCCCTCCTGGGAGGATCCTCCAAACACCCTTTATTTGGTGCTCCCTTCTCTATCTGAACTGCCCTTTCCTCTAGGATACTCGGCTGGCCTCTAAGTTATGGAGTAATCCTCCTGGTGCTGATCTCAGCTATTCTTGGGTATTAATCTCATATTTTGTTACTTTATATCCCCCAGATGAATGCAATCTTTCTATGTCTATCCCTCTCTTTCTGACTCATTTGGCTTAGCATGATACTTTCCATATTGTACCACTGTTACAAATAATTTTTAACCTTTATATTTTCCTTTCTGTTTTCTAGATTACATAACCACTCTAAGGTCTATATTTTTTGCATCTATATTTTTGAGGAGTGGGACCAAATTCAGGTCCCATTCATCAGCTGGCAATAGTTAATAAGGGGCAAAATTGCCCCTTCCTTCCTCAGCTCCTTTAATGTCATATGGATCAAGCTCATTTGCTGATGCTGAGAAGAAAACTTGTCATAGTGTCAGGACATGCTTCTTTCTAGCTGCTACTATGCTGACACAGCAAACAGGTTGATAGAAATCTTCTTCCTTCCATTAAGATACTAGTGCTCTCTTTTACACCTGTGCACATAAAGATACAAAGGTAAGAAAGAATGGAGAATTTTCATGGTTCTTTCTAGAAAACAGAGGAGTAACTGAATCCACCTAACAGGAACAGGAAGACTGAAACTCTGGTTGTGACTGTCGTCTGAACTCTTCTATCATTTAAAAACAAGTCTTATAGTGGTAGAACTTTAAAAGAGAAAAAACCCAACCCCATCGAAAAAATGAGGAGAAGAAATAAAATCTTCCTTAAGGAAAAAAATACAAATGGCCAAAGACACATAGAATGCTGTACATTACTAACCATCAGGGAGATGCAAATCAAAACAATGTGAGATATCATCTAAAACCACAAAGACAGTCACACATCACATAGGACAAGATCAACCAGTGTTGGCATGGTTGTGGGGAGAAAGACACTCTCATTCACTGTTGGTGGGAGTGCCGACTGGTCAGACATTTTGAAAAACAATATGGGAATTACTCAAAAAACTAGAAAATGAGCTTCCATATGACCCAGCAGTATCACTCCTGGGAATATACCCTGGGAGTCCAAAAACACAAGGCAAAAATGCCACCCGCACTTCTATGTTCATTGCAAGCTATTCACAATAGCTGGAATCGGAAAAAACCTGAGTGCTCAAGAGCAGATGACTGGCTAAAGAAACTATGATGTATCTGCACAATGGAATGCAACAATCAAAAACAGTGAAGTCATGACATTTCATCTCCTTAATTAAATTTTTCCTACTTATTTCTGGATGTAATTGTAAGTAAGATTATTTCACTATTTTCTACCTCTCACTCAGTATTTGCATATGGGGCATGGAAAAAGCTCTTGTAACAGAGCCCTGGTAGCTGAAAACCTCCACACTCCACAATATCCACCCTTCTCACAGCTGGACTGCTTGCTGGACAAGGCTCATCCAGGTATTGATCTGTTGAAAATCTCAGGTAAGGGTTTTATGAATGAAATCTCCAAGCTCTCACGAATTGGGGATGGGCTACCTTCTATGCCTGGCAGTCATACCCATGAACTACGTCTGGCACCAAATTAAGCACATTAACTGGCCATGATCCAAAAACTGATAAATAAATCTCAAAAGAGATCAACAAGTTGAGAGATGCTTGTTGATGAGATGACCAGTTGAGAGACGACCAGGCCAGGCTCTGTTGTCCAGGGCACCCAAAATCACCATGCAATTAAGAATTTAACTCCAGCTGTATTACCCCAACCCAAATTGTTGAATTCCTGAAGCATGCAGTTGCATTCACGACCGCTTGACATTTCAAACTCTACACCACTGATGAACCAGGAGTAGCATACCACATTTGATGGTATGTAAAGTAGAAGGCAAGCAATCTTGATTAAGAAAATATAAATATACAAGGTTTAACTGGTAACAACATGTTAGTAATCTCTTCTAGAAAGGCTTAATGGCTCCACGGTGAGATACAAAAATATTCACACATCTTCTTCTAAGGAAGTACTTTTTAAAAAAATTGTATTTAGTAATTATAACAAACAATATAAAATAAGTATTTAGGGCCTGTAACAGGGTGAAAGGCTTGAGGGGTAGTTGGGAAAACTGAAAATAATGGTGGTGGAAGGGTATGCTGGTGGTGGGATTGGTGTTGGAATATTACACATAATAAATCATGAACAAGTTAATAAAAATAAATCAAAAAAGTTTTTTGCACTGATTTTGTAGTGAGTAACTTTGCTGTAGTCATTGACTCTAACAGAAATGGAATCTTTAGGGTTTTATACATATTTCCATCATCATATCTTCTGAAAAATAATTATAGCTTACCACTTTTCCGACCAGGAATTTTTAAATTTCTTCCTGCAATTTAGTTTATCTAAGATGTCTAATACCAAATGAAATAGTGAGAGCAGATAGCTTTTTAAGAATTTCTGAATTATGACTGAAATGCAAACACAAAAGTATGTAAGTATGCAACTGTACCTCATGGTGATTCACTAATAAAAAAAATGTAAAAATAATAAAAATTTCTGAATCTAAAGAGAAAGTTTTCAGTTTTGCCCTGTTTTCCCCATTAAGTATATAAGTGGTTTTATATCATGCAGGTTCTATTGTACTGGGTTCTCATTCTATTCCTGTTTTGAAATTTTATTTAATCATAAGTGCATAATGAATACTAGTAAATTGCTTCTCAGCAAATTACCACATACTTTCTTTTTCTTCTATTGATACCAATTATTACTTTGATTTACCTTCAGAAGATGAACCATATGCTGAACCATGCTTAGAATAAACCCCTCTTGGTAATGATGTGCAATCTTTCTAATGTACTGTTGAATAACATTTGTAAAGAAAATTAAAGATAATAAAAAGTAAATAAAATTTAAAAAATCTTGAATTACTATGGCAATCCTAAGAAAGAAAAATACACGGAGGTATTATATTCCAATTTCAAAATATACTACAAGGCAACAGTAATTAAAACCATATGGTATCAGAACATAAACAGAGACATGAAATGTAAAAAAAATTAAAAGACAACCTATGTTTTTAATTAAAAGACAACCTATGTTTTTGGTATTTAATTTATGACAAAGGATCTAAGATCTTTCTGCTAAATGATAGTCTCTTCAATAAAAGAAATGAGAATATGCGTTGTCACGGGAAAAAGAACAAAACTAATTCTCCAGGTCTATATGAAAAAATAAATTAAAAATGATGGAAAACCTTGAATAAGTAAAACATTCAATTCCATAAGTGCTTGAAATGTTTTTTGGGTCAATAATTCATTAAATTATTTAATAACAAAAAATAAAC